TTTGAGATGAAAGATATAGTTTTACATAAAAAGATGGTCACAAAAAGTAATGAAAAGTGGGATGAACTTCACAAATTGGAGGGAGTAATAAAGTTGTTAAAAATTACCTAAGTATTAATGTTGAATGAAACAAAGATTGAAGAGTTGAAATGATCAATGCGTAAATAATACAAACTAATGGACACTTAAGATGTAATCTGTTGATTAAGAAAATGACTTTGTTTTTATTGATTACTCTGTAATTACTTTATTTCAATTATTTAAATCTTGTAATTTTGGAAGCAAATATATGATATAATGTCATCTATATATATTATATATTTATATAGTCCTTGGTCTAGCAATAAGAGCAATTCCAATGGTAAATTAATTAGCAAATAACCTGTTATGTCACATATGATCTTAATTAAATTAATCTCTTTTGTAACTAATTTGTGCCCTAAATTTAGCTTATAATTAATATGAGCCTTAATTTCTTAATTATCTTTTTAAATTTAATTTTATTAATATATCAACCCTCTTTTTGACATTTTTTTTAACACTTATTTCATTTTTAAGTTCCAATGATAGCTAGAAAATACAATGGGCTATGGCTCTATTTTTTATTTTTTTATTTTTTTAATAGCAAAAATATTTCATTAATTAAAAGTCATACGACATCTACAATAGAGATACGACGTTAACAAATACATAAGATATTGAATCAAATAAAATTTTCCTTCATAAAAACTACGATTGTCGAGTAGATCTTGCATTGTGGAACATCTCCCACTTATATCGCTTGAAAATAAAACCTTGTTGGAGAGACAATCTAACAATCCTTTGTAGCTGTGAGGATGTTTTCCTTCTGATTCATCTGTCTGTATTCGAAAACTTGATAACTTTTTCACCAATGAAATAATTTCACGACAATCCATTAGATCTAATATCATGGATTCAAAACTAAGAAAGTTCCCCCCTGAAAAGAGGAGATAAACCTTGTCTTTTGAAGAAGGTCGAAAAACCCTTGTCTGTCAAAGGAGATCGGAAACCCATTCTTTCGAGGGAGAAAAGTTCTTCCCAAAAGGAGGAAACATTATTATAAACCTAAAAAAAACTTTAAAGTTACAAGGATTGGGGCTTTCCACCGGATAAAACCGATGAAAGCCCCTTCAAAATTCAACAATGGAGGTTAGGGTTTTGGAGAGAGGAAGAAGGTGAGAAATTTTTATCTTTTAAATATAGAACTCTCTGGGGCTATGACTCTATTTGGTGATAGTGTTTCAGGTAGCAGTTAGCTTTTGTACTAAGTCAAAATACTAGTAGATAAAATAAGAGTTATTGCTAAGGAAATGTTTCATGTAGCGGTAAGTGGTAGAGGACGGCCTGTTCTTTAGAGCTAATATGCTCTATTCTTCTTTGTTCTGCTCTGATGAGTTCTGCTATGCTCTGCTATGCTATGTGAAATATTCTTTGCTCTGCTCTAATGACACCTGCTCTAATATGGTCTGCTGAAATCTGCAGGTTTGCTCTGCTCTACACTGCTTACCCAGAAGCTCAAAAGAACAAGATGGTAATGTTTTGGTAGTTTTTCACAAACGTAAAATATGTTCGCGTTTGATAAATTTTGTGTTGTTTTTTTTTTAAAAAAAATTATTATCACATATGAATTTTATTGTATTTATATTTCAATCGCTATTTTTGTCAAATACATATTATTAATTGTTACATTAACGGCTAACATCAACCATATACTAATTGACAGCTACCCGCTATTCGACCGCTTAAAGATACTCCGTCAGTTCTTGAAATAAGGTTGCATTTGTTCATTTTACGCAGTTAATAAGGAAAATAAGATAGTGGAAAACAATGATTAGATATCACATGTATCAAGTATTATTAAGACATTAGTTCAACGTTGAAGATAAGAATATTTGCATAAGAAATAGGTAAATATTTATGTAAATATGAATATTTGCATAGGGAGTAGGTAATTATTTTAGTAAATGGGAATAATTGCATTGAGAATAGGTGTATGAAGGGAAATGTGTAAAAAAAGTTACTCCGAATTTTACATTAAACTATAAAATAATTACAACGTAATTATTAAAAGGAAACGCAAAAGATGACAAATGTAACCCTCTTTAGTAACGGAAGGTAGTAGCAGATTTTGCCAAATAGGGCCTATACTATGAGATTGAGAGTTAAGATAATATGGAGTAAAGACAATTCAAATGGTAAGCAAAAAAAAAGTTTTACCTTTTGTCATTATTCATTTATTTATTTAATATTTTTAAAGCTTGTAAATTTGAAAGAAAATATTTTAATATAATGTTTATATGTGATATTAAACTAGTTTGTGGTTCGGGCGATGCCCCGGGTTGCTAGTTTGTACTTCTTTAATTTGATAATTATATTCGACTGTTTGTATAGTTAGTGTGTGGTTCGGGCGTTATCTCGGGTGTTATTGTTATTTATTTTATTTTTCTTACCTTATATGTAATTATTTTCTAATCTTGTGAAAAATAAATAAAAAATATGACCTCTAATTTACTTAATATATTAAAGGAATATATAATGTTAATTATGTGAAATTTAAGACATTAATCAAAATTGGTTGAGATGGTAAATGTATGACCTTTGGAGAGTGACGTGGCATTGTGCAAATATTTGAAAAGTGTCACGTAGCACCGTTCTATTACTATAAACGTCTTTTAATATATAGTATAGATTATTATAAAAGACTATATTACAATCCAAATACTTGGATCTAGCAATAATAGAGATCACAAGTTTACAAAATATGAAATTACCGACATGAAATAGGCAGCAAAATATCGTCCCTGAAATAAATGACAATTCTTCATACCCATTCATAAATCATATTGCCCTACTTACTCTATCAACTTGTCTATATTTATGATTGATGGAGCTTGGAAGTGGTGTGGATCCCATCTACTTTCCTCTTCAATGAGTGGTGTTGCGCAAATTTTGCATTTGGTATTGTTATGCTACTTAACAAATTTAAAGGAGTGATAGAAAACAATACATCGTAAAACTATGTCATATCCTTTTTACTCCTTATTTGATGATAGGAGTTAAATCTGATTGCTGGTTAAATTAATTCCTAACATAGAGAGTAACATACAGGGAGTCACGTCCCTTGCCGACCACTCCGAATGCCGTTCCTAGCCTACGTGAACAGACCACAACCTGCCAACATGCATATATTACCAACCATGATAGAGATCCTCACCAAAAAGTTGGGAAAAAGAGAGACAAATGAAAGAGGAAGTAGTGGCCAATTACACATGGAAAATAATGAAGCAGCAGCCAGCAGGCAAAAGTTGTAATATATGGTCATTGATTGATGCATATTGATGGTCCTTACTCATCAGATGTTTTCCTTATAAAGAAGTAACAATTGGCAAATGTAACAATATCACTCTCAAAAATTTAAATATATGGAGATAACAGAAAGCAAAATTAGACAGCAAGAAGCACTTAACATTGAATCTGGATCAATTAGAGATGATCAAAACCAAGAAGAGTGTCCTACTTCTGCTCACACTATTGGAAACGGTGAGTTTTTGTTCATCATCTAAGCTTTTGAACATTGTTATTTTTCTTTTATGTTATCATCTAAGCTTTTGAATTATTGCTCTGACAGTTCTGTTTATTAACACTATATGTCACAAACTTATAAGTGCTAGTATAAGTCCTATTCCATCTCCACGCCTAATTCCGTCCGCCCTATTTAAATATTATTAATAATATGTGTGACAATTAATTATGAACAAGGGAGTATAATATTAGAAAGAAACACTTTTAATAGTGGGAAGGAGTGAAGATGATGTCTCTTGAGTTTGGGCCTGTGGTGTCAATCACCCCGCCAAGCACTAACTCAACAACGAACATATCTTTCCTGAGAAACATAAGTACTCTGTACTTACTTAGTTTCCTTAAAATTTCAGCAGTTTAAAACTGAGGTGAATGAGAAGACCTTAAAACAAGTACTCTTGAAATTTTAAAGACACTAACCAAAAGTTTGCAAAAATTAAATAACATCCCATAGCTAAACAGGAAAACCTTTATCAGCAAACATTTTGGTAACATACGAAGTTTTTCTCTATTTTATTTCATCCGAGCATGACTCGAGCACTACCTAGTTATATATAAACCTCGGGTGACCTCTCTGGCTCTCACTAGCCAAAGACACTGAATCACATATACAGGGGTAATGAGCTTATGGGCTGAGCTGAGACACCTAAATCCTATCCCATTTTGTTCCCCTCTCCCTTATCCTTGAGTCTCAAGTGATGAGATGAGTGACCACCGAGCCATTTTGTCTTCTTGAATATAACGGCTTCTTGTCTTATATGCAAGATTTCGACTGCAATATTAGAAATTTCAGCAAACCCTCATTTTCTAGCACCTCATTATTGACTTGAGAGAAAAAAATAAGTATAATTTATAAGATATTTGTTTCATAATAGTATAAAAAAAAAAATGCAATTAAAGAAGAATCTTATAAATGAGCATATAACATCCCTCAAAAAGTATTGGAAAAGAGAGCATATAATCCTTTTGGATCTAGTTAAAAGCTACTCCGTAATAAAATAACCAAGCAATCATTAATTCATTCATTTACCAAGCTAAACTTATCATCTTCCAACCTTGTGGTTGGAAGTTCAATCTGCACCGAGGGCACTCAAGAGTGAGTATCTCCTTACCCTCCACTTCCCTACCCTCCCCTTCCTCACTCCCAAAAGTCCCAATGTATCTACCTTTCATCTTACCTGCCAAAAAAAAAATCATTAATTCATTTCAATAAATAAAAACATCACTTTTCAAAAATTATTGAAAATGACTTTGTTTGCTTGAATGAAATGAAATGAAAATGATGTAAATCTTCGACAAAAGTATTTTAGTTTTGTTCTCTCCATATAAAAAAAATGTTTAGTACAAATCAGATTTTAACAAACAAAAACTATTATAAATAGCAAATATTAGTTTGAAGAACTTTCAGTAATTAAATTTTATTTTAAAAATAAACTAACGACTAAATAAAAAATAGTCATAACAGACAAAAACCCTTTTAATCATTTATACCAGTAATTGAGTTTAATCACAATTGTAATCATTATTAACCCGTAAAAACAATTTATGCAGTAAAATTAGTTCGGTTCAATAAAATCAGGTAAAGAAAACAGACCTCAATCATAAATCATACAAGGCCTAAAGCCACGGCTGTATATTCTGGCTTTATGTATGTTTTTTTAAAGGTTGAAGGACCCACTTTTAGCAATAGGTCCAATGAATAAGACTCCAAATCTAAGCTTGGGACGGAGTATCTATCAATATTAATTCTTGACCATAGATGCACCATATATGCATGCTAGCATAGCATGATTGATCTCCAACCAAAAAACTGGGAATATTGAACAAAAAAAGAAAGACAAAAAAAAAAAAAAAAAAAAAAAAGACAAAATTAACAAGGAAAATAGATCACAAATTTTAAAATAATGCACCACTGTCCAGTGTCCACCAAAACAAGTACAGTATATAACGTTTATGTGGTCCTTTAAACTTCATACCATACGCTCTCCTTGTAAAAAACCAGCAAGTGGCAACAACCACTAAGCTTAGAAAAAGAAAGGAAAACTATGGAGACAGAAGGCAAAACTAGTCATCCATCAGCTTTTAACTTAGAATCAGGCTCTATAAAGAATGGTGATCAAATTCTAGAAGAAGTTCCGACTTCGGCTCATGCTATTGGGAATGGTTAGTTTTAGTCACGCCCCTTAGTCTGATAGAATCAAATAGCTTGTTTAGTCTAGTATACTGCTTGTATCGTGTGATCCAGTGCACTGCTATATTTATTCTGTGTTCCATTCATGACATGTTACCATGACTTCCTTGACTTCGATAGTAAGTTGCATTATATCTGCATCGTAGTTGGTAAAGTCTTAGGGGTGACAACTATGACATGTGATCAGATATTGTCGCATAACTCACATTAATATAGAATCTTAGTACAGTGACTACGTCCTTAGTTTGTTTTTGAGGGAGGAATGAAGATTACTTCTCATATTAAGCCTAAGGTGCCAGTAACCTCTACCATAGTGCAATATCTCTTAGCACTAGATCAGTAAAGTGTACAAAAAAGGAGGGGAAAATGTGTTATCCTACACTTATTTACAATTTATAAATGTATCTTCTTAGATTCTTCTATCTATAAGCTTGATGAAACAGAATGTTTTGATGTGATAAATTTGTTATGGTTTATATACAGATTCATGGCAGCAGGTTAGTTTGATGCTCGTAACGAGCTTCAACTGTGGATGGATACTAAGCTTTTCAAACCTTATGTTGGTGCCCCTGGGTTGGGTATGGGGTATCGTCAGCTTACTTCTTATTGGGTTCTTCAGTTGCTACTCAAGCTGTCTATTAGCAGGCTTTCACTTCATCCAAGGTCAGAGATTCATCAGATACAGAGACGTCATGGGGTATCTATTTGGTTAGTATGCTAAAAAAAACTACAGTATAAAGTTTCAACTGTATTGTTCAGATGTATTTTAAAATTGGATACGAAGTAGACACCTAACACCAAACATAAAACTGTGCAGGGAAGAAATTGTACTATGTAACATATATGCTCCAATTTTCAACCTTTATTTTGGCAAATATGGGTTTCATCCTTCTGGGAGGCAGAGCACTGAAGGTATACTGTTCATTTAACCTCTTTAAAACTAATAAAATTAAAAATAAAAAAATAAAAAATGATTATGCAGTCTTAGTAATCAGTAGGCAAAATCCGCCATAGATGATTATGAACACTTTTAATCTAGTGAGTTAATCAAGAAGAGATGGCTATGTTTGGCCGTGTGAATATTAAATAGTTAAGGGTGATTTTAAATAATTTTCTCTTAGACGCAGTAAGATTATAATCAGCAGCTCCACCCAAAAGAAACAACATATAAGCAAATATAGAGAAAGATCTTAATACCAGTTAAACTTGTCATGGTCTTCTTGCAGGAGATAAATCTGGTGTTCAGTGAGACAGCCTTGAGGCTCCAGTATTACATCATTATCACAGGAGTAGTATACTGCATATTTGCTTTTGTCGTCCCAAACATGTCTGCCATGAGAGTGTGGGTAGGAGCTTCTACATTTCTCACCTTCGGTTTTATTGGAGTCCTCCTTGCGGTATCAGCAAAAGACGGTAAGCTCAATGTTGTTAATGTTAATAACCTCAACCTGCAATAACATGTACAGATGCCAAAGAATTATGTAGTATACTAAATTTGATAGTGCTTCAAAGGTTTGTGGCTTATTTCCCCTCACCAGAATTCAGCAGCTAGATTTGTCCCTAATCGGTTTTATTAGGTCTTTAGCCTTTAGCCTAACAGGCTAACACAATTTTCCCATTCCTCTGCAACAACACTAATTCATTCCCCCAACTTGAGGTAAAACACGGAGCAACAATCACCCTAGTTCAAAAAGCAAAAACAAAAATATCATTAATTTGTTTTTAAACTCCCTCTTAAGGCTGAATAATGTGCTTCAGATTTCATAACTCAAAACGGATAGATCTTTCAAAATTTATGTCATTTAGTTGCTGAACTGAATGTTGCATCCTTACAATGCCCACTCAATGCATAAATAATGCAAGTAATGTGATTGTGTGTATTATATGTATATATATATATATATAAATACATGTGTGTGAGTGAATGTAAGGAAATTTATATACATAACAATTGTTTCTTTGATTTAACAGTTCTACTCCATCAAATGCATATTTCAGCCCAACTTATTCATCCATTCACTTTGCAGGAAATTCTAACAGACACAGAAACTATGAAGTTAGGGGTAGCACAGTGGGTAAGGTGTTTAATGCCTTAGGTGCAGTATCGGCCATGATTGTGAGCAACAATTCAGGCATGGTACCAGAAATACAGGTGAAAATTTCTACTTAATATGAGCTTTGAGACAATAGAAAGTATATAGTCATGCAGAAACAGAGAGCAATATTCAAACAAGCTTCAATGACCAAATCTAATTTTGAATTGTGCAGTCAACTCTCCAGAAGCCAGTTGTCAGGAACATGAGAATTGCCTTGTGTACACAATATACTGTTGGACTCATGGTATATTATGGTGTTAGTATCTATGGATATTGGCTTTATGGTTCAGATGTTCCAGATTATCTCCCTATGGCACTAAGCGGGCCAAAATGGGCGAAGATCCTGATCAACTTAGCTGTCTTTCTACAAAATGTCATCTCTCAACATGTATGTGTTATTTTGCTTCTTCTTACTTAAACCACTCCTCATCTCCCCCTTTTCATACTTCTGCTTCACATAAATTCCAGATTAAAAGCATATTATATTAGACAAATCATATAAGTTACTTAAGTCTCTACAGAGTACAGACTGAACATACTGCATCTACATTAATTCAAATTACTAAATTAGTAACTAAAAATTATTTCACCATCATAAGTCAGTTTAAAATCATGGTAGTGGCACTAAAAGTAAGTAATTCTGACATGGAAGAAGAAGAGAGAGAGTAATAGAATAAAGGAGTGATTAGAGAAAGGACTGATAAACGAGGAATTACAGAATCAACAAGGGAAAATCGTTGAAAGAGTCTCCAATGAGCAACAAACATTTTTAATATATTACTTTGTATTAAAGTAGTAGATTAATGATCCAGGTGCTATTTATTGTGTAGTTGTAGGCACATGAACTATATTTTTTAGGTTTGGAGGGAGAAAATGAGAAGGGTTAGGTCTCACTACTACTACTTTACTAGGATATTTCTAGATAATCTTATATTGAACTTCCTAAAAATGCTTTGATTGTAACCAAACAAGACTACTATAATACAAAGACATGATCATGATATCTTCATACAACAAATTATGAAAAAATGTTTGGTCAATGTCTCCAATTGAGCTCATAATCAAAGAAGGAATTTGCATGGGAAGTATCTTAAGCTAATTAGTTGTGACTCACAATAGTATATTGCTAACCTACGAATATTTCATACAATGTCAGATGTTCTTCCAACCAGTTCATGAGGCGCTAGATACCAAGTTTCTGAAAGTTGACGAGAGTACATACTCAAGAAGAAATATAACAAGGCGATTTTTGCTACGGGTACTTGTATTTACAGGCAATACTTTGGTGACAGCGGCCATACCTTTTATGGGAGATTTCATGAACCTCTTGGGATCATTTACACTTGTTACATTGACTTTTATCTTTCCAAGCATGATCTACATCAAGGTAACTTCTACTAAGGCTAAGCAGTTTCAATAAAAGTAACAACACAAAAATCAGTTATAAATTTTGACTCTTATTTTATGCCATAGGTTAAGGGGAAGACAGCTAGGACTGAGATGAAGGCATGGCATTGGACTCTCATCATTGTATTTTCCATACTAGCAGTGGCAACTACAATCTCAGCAGTCAGATTAATCATCAATAATGTTAGAAACTATGAATTATTTGCAAATCAATAATATATTGAAGTACATACAGGCAGCAATAGGCTCTAGTCAAGGTCATAGTGTTCCTAACAGTAGCTTCTACAGCATTGCTCCAAAATAAAAGTGCAAGAATGCCCCTGGCTGCATTGCTGGGGAATTGTTGTGCAAAAAGTGACACAACCAGCACTCCTTAAAATTAGAATATTATATAACTATGGATTTGCAAAGCAAACCAGATGAAGGTTTTATCAACAAAAGATATAAAAGAAAAGGGCCAAAAAAAATTGCAACTGCTACTGGCAAGGACATGCTGGGGGAGTTTAGACATCATCTTTACAGAGGTAACTCACGAGGAAAAAGAAATTTTCTGGGAAAAAGTTACCTTTCTTAAAGTGTTGGACTCAAAAGATGGCAGGACTGTCAGACGGAAACAGAGAAACTGTCCAAGGAGAATGTCAAATAAGAAATGTTTTAGAACAAGCGAGGGAGTAAGAAAACTTGAAAAACAGTGGAGACCAATTTAGCCATGCATACAACAGAAAGGAATGAATGGGCATGCAAATGGAGTTAGGGTGGGAGCAGTAGCTCCCAACCCAGTTTCTTTCCCCTGAGATAGAGGTTCAACTACTACCAAGAGCATGTGGAGATTACAGCTTCCCTCCATTCACTCTCCTTTTTACCTAAAACATAACCAAGTAGATAGAGATTATATGAATTGCATGTGCAATTTTTCCCAGATTAAGGTCTTAGAAGATAAAATCAATTCCTGTAATTATAGACCATCAAGTGTATCCAACCTTTCCACATTGGTAAAGCAATAAGGCCTTAATTGGTTCACCTTATTTTTACTGATCTGATCTGGTTTGGTCTGATCTGATCTGATCTGGTCTGGTCTGGTCTGATTGTCTGATTTGACCAAACTTTGACCTTAAGTGTACGATAATCTATAAGGAAAAAATATATCAAGTGGGATCTTGTTAGATTCGTAATAATGTGTAGTTTATTAATATGTAATTTTCACAATTTTTTTCATTACGAAATTAAGAATATTTAGCGATAAAAAACCGCACATAAAACGATGTTTTGATCTGAACTTATTTTTTCTGATCTGATCTGAACTTATTTTTTCTGAAATAAGTAAAAATAAGTTGAACTAAACAAGGCCTAACTCAACTATCTAGCATGATACATTTGGAGTTTTGGACATATATTAGAAAGTCCGATCCAATGGCGGCATAATAAATGTGTATGTAGCAGAGTAAAGGTAAACTACAGCAAAATAATGGAAGAAAAAAGAAAAAACACAGCAGAAGCTTTCAGGTGCTTTAACAAACAGCATTAAAGTCGGGCAATGCAAAATTGTCTGACTTGCTTCAATGCGGACTTAGACCAAAATTATATGCCAAATACAGCAACAGAAATTGTAGAAAAATGTAGCAAATTAAAGAAAGGTATACCTCAGCTCAAGCACATCTGGCAGTCTCACCTGCACTCTATATTCTGTACATAATCCAAGAGTAGTTTCATGAGACATTGACTCTAAATATGTTTGTTCTGTTAAAAATGTACAAGCCAGCAATCATATTACCTCGATCAAACTAGGGGAGCAGTAATTCTGACGTGCCATTAGGAAACTGGTAAGATATCTTAATTTGATAAAGAGATCAATGAAAGATTATAGCTCTACATATTATAAAATCAAAAGGACGGCTGATATTCCTGCACTTGGACTCCAGAAATCAGAACAATGTACCTTAATACCACCTCAAAATCAGAATCCATCATTACATAGTCTGTTTTCCTATGTCATGATCATCTACCCAGTTCACTCACACTGGGCCACTATAAACTTTCCCGTATTTGTTAGATTCAACCCAACTATGACCAGGTAATTTAGCTGTGATCTTTTTCTTCATAGCTTTTCGAACTCTTTCAGCCTCATCCCATTGCTCTCTTTCAGCATAGATACCAGAGAGAAGCACATAGTTACCAGTATTATTAGGTTCTAATATAAATAGTTCCTGAGCAACAAGTTCTGCTATTTCAACATTGCTATAAGTTCGACAGGCAGCAAGAAGAGCACCAAAAGCTGCAGGGTGAGGATCCATTGGCGTACTCTTGAGCATCTTATACGCTTGCTCAAGTCTCCCAGCACGCCCAAGCATATCAACTACGCAAGCATAATGATCTGCATCCGGCTCAATCTTGTAATCGTTTATCATGCTCTCCCAATATGCTAAACCATCATCAACAAGTCCCGTATGGCTACACGCATTCAATACTCCAACAAAAGTTATATAATCAGGTTCAACCTTCGCCATCAACATTTTTTGAAACACCTCAAGCGCTCTGATGCCATGCCCATGTGAAGCAAGGCCTGTTATAAGTGCACTATACGGGTATACATCCGGCTGAGGAATCTCCTCAAACAACCGACATGCTTCTTCAATGTTCCCACATTTAGCGTGCATATCAACCAATGAAGTAAGGACTTTTACATTTCGCTCAATGCCTTCTTGATTCACTAATGTCATGATCCAATTGGCCAAATCAGGACGTCCTAACTGCGCCAATACAGATATTACAGCAGTCATTGCAAAAGCATCCGGCTTAACATGTACTCCTTGCATTCTACGAAAATACCTCAATGCTTCATTTGGTTGTCCATTTTGAGCATACCCGGAAATCATAGCAGTCCAACAAACTAAAGTCTTCTCCGGCATAGCCTCAAAAAGGACTTTAGCCATATCCATCATTTTATTTTTAGTATAACCAACTAGCATTGTCGTCCAAGTTACAACATTCTTCTCAGACATCTTATCAAATGTAGCTCGAGCCGAATCCAAATCACCATTATTCACATACCCTACAACCATAGCATTCCAAGAAATCAAATTTCTAACAGGCATTTCATCAAAAATCATCTGGGCATCCCCCATATCATCCCCAACTCTAGCATAAGCACCCAGAACAGCATTATAAGACACTACATCTCTCTGAGGCATTTCGTCGAACACTTTGCGTGCACAACCCAACTTACCACATTTCCCATACATATCAATCAAAGCATTAAAAACCTCAACAATTGAACAAAAACCAGATTTCACAACACGCCCATGAACCTCACATCCATGATTAAGGTCACAAAGAGCAGCACACGAGTTAAGTAAAAAAGGGTAAGTATAATTATCAGGTTTTACATTACAACGAATCATTTGAAGGTATAATTGCAAGGATTCATAGCAGAGAAATGGGGTTTTAGAGAAAACTCTGATTGAGTGATTGAAGAGAAATGCAGTGGCGTAGTGAGAAAGAGAAGAGAAGAGGAGATGGGTGTGACGAGGAGAGAGAGAGGTGTACAGAGTAACAATGGAGGAAGTAATTGAGTGTTGTTCATGGAGATTGTGGCGTAGAATTTGAGCGTGAATTTGTTTGAGGTGAATGATCGAATTGCAGTTTCTTAATAGAGATTGAATTGATTGATCTACTACTTTCATGTTTAAAATGAGAGTGCAAAAGACTGAGTGAGTGAGTAACAAGATGGTTTCGTGTTTCATCGCAGCGGTTATTGAGCCATATTAACATGCGTCGTTAAAAAACATTTTTTTATTGAGAAAATTCGTGTTTTTTTTTATCGTAAACAAAAAACATGCGTCGTTTATATGGGATGCAGAAGTCATTTCATTGAATAAAGTAAGGGTTTCTTTGTAATTTTCCCTGGGCAGACTAACAACCGTCAATGGGTAATTTAAAACTGCGTTTTGAAAACATTTTGGTTGTTACTCCGTTCCGTAAATATCACAATCTTTACAACTTCGATCGATGGGCAGGGTACTTGTCAGAGCTAGGGTTTCAAAAGATATGTATAGTCACCTAAATGTCGCCGTTTTTATCCAGTGGATCGATGTGAACTTATTCCCTCTATTATTGAGTACAATGGAATTGCCATATTAACAACGAATTCGATAATTACATTTTCATAGCTTATTGAATTACTGTATGTAGATGAAAGGAAGTAGTTTTAATGAATAATTAAATTGTATTGTGGTAAGATTCGTAAATTTTGAATCCAATCAAGTTAAATTGCATGCATCAAAATTTCAATTTATATTCATTAAGAATTGAAAGGAATTGGTTGAATTGCTTAAAGGCATATGCAATTCAATACTCCGTAGCTCTTCTCTCTCCTCTCTTTTTGGGGTTTTAATTTTCTTGTTCGTTTAGGCCAGAAATAGTTTCGGAAATTTGACTATTTCCGACCCTTTTTCTTTGATTTAATTCGCTTATTTGTTATTTCATTTGTTTTGCTTTGTTTTGTTCTCTTCATTTGTGAGAGTTTGTCCCAATTTTTTTGGGTTTTTCCCAATATTCTGAGATTTTGATTCTCATCTATAGACGAGAATTTTATTTTTAGGGTTTTAATAATAATTGAGAAGGTGATTTGGATTCATATGGGTTTAGGGTTCGTCATCAACTCTACGATCAAAACATCAGTGCAGATTGCGAAGGTCTCTACTTGGAAAGATGCAAAGATACCGAAAATCACTGTTCGCGTCAAGTTTGAAGCGGTGGAGTGTGAGTTATGCCCGATATGCAAAATAGTTATGATTTTGATTGTAAAAGTTATGTTATTTTCTCTAGATATGTGGTTTCCAAATCTTTATTATTATTGTCGATGCCGTATGACTATTTATTAATGATAATATTTTTCTTCCTGTCAAAAAAAAAAAAAAAAAGGTAAAGGCATATGCAGAAAATCCGTTTTTAAGCTTACACTAGTTGAGCACTTTCAGATCTTGGCACCAAGAAACCTCAAATGCAGTAAATTTGTGCGTTCACACATGAAAAACCTCTCTATGTTGCTCCTTTCTCGATCACTACACTTTGGTGTTTTCCTGACAGAGGAAAGGATCGAGATCGTGTTTTCAAGAAACCTTAATAACGAGGTTGAATATATTTTTTGAGTGGCGAATTCCAAACGAACGGAGGTCACTACATTCGTTAAATGTTAGCAAACACCCAGTTAAGTGCCACATCAACAACAACAAAGAATAACATTAAAATATTTAAAACCACCGCTCATATTTGCAAAACTGCCACTATATTAACATGGTTGGTTAATATGCTATATTAACTGGGGCCGGCTCGCGGTTATTTGAAACATAAGTTGTTTATCTAGTAGTATTTCAGTAAATAAATCAACAAAAAATTATATTTTGGTAATTTTGTAACTATAGCAATATTTGTAGGCTCACATGTAAAAAAGTTGTTAATTTATTTGCGAAATGTCATTAGATAAACTTATATATTCCCTTATTTGAAGTAATTGCGAGAAATTGTTAGGTTTTTTGTAAAATGGAAAGATCCTTCCTAATGAACTAATTAGTCATTATCTGATTATCTCACTATCTTATCTGAAATTATCTTATCTGATTTGAATGTATATAATGTTATTAAACCATTAATTGAGGAGAACATGGCCTAAATTGCCGTATACTTTTATAGAAATACGTTATATATTTTTGTGTAATATTTATTACACTAGTTAGCAACTTAGAAACTCACTCATATTAATTCTTCCTGTCTAAAAATTAATGTCTAAATTGCAGGTATTGCAATCTAGTGAAACAATTTAGTATATACTATATTCAAATTATACCAGAAAGATTCAAATTTGCATAGAATATTTTGACGTACTTATACCGTCCTCTAGTCAGTTTGAGGGTTTTAGTGTTTTACCACCTTTTATTTTACTGTATAAAAGTTTTATGTTTAGCACCAGATATTGGATTCCCAGACAAATTTTCGTCTAAGTAGGGCCCATTGACGAAATTGTTAGCTAAAATCCAAATTGACTAAAATTAAAGCTATTTAGCTTAGTTAGGCAATTGAAGCTCTCTCGAATAAGTAAATGAGCCAAAATAATAGCATCAATTGTACAATACTACAATAGAAATTGTTAGAGCTGTTAATTTTTTATCCGAACCGTTAAATTCGACTGTTTCGAATCGATTTATAAAAGAATCAAACTGTTAAAAACCTTTTTTTGAAAATAGAAAACCGACCTAATCCAATTTTTTCCAACCCAAAACTGAACTGAACCGAAGTTGTGCAAACCCTTAATGACCCGACCCGTTATTAAGTCAAACCATTACCAGCCAAAAACCGAAAGCAACCCGAACTGATTATGTCCGAACCCGATAGTAACCCAACCCATTTTAAACCGAAAACTGTTTAAACCCGACAAAAATCCGATTAACCTGAACCGTTCCAACCCGTAACCCACTGTGACCGAACCGTTTATAACCTGTAACCCGTTAGGACCGAACCGTTTACAACCCATAACTTGTTGAGACCGAACCGTTTACAAATCCTAATCCATTATGACCGAGCCATTTACAACTCGTAACCTAATATGTTTATATCTGATCCGTTTCAACCTACTACCGATAAACACAACTTATTTAAGAATTAACTCGATTATAACCTAACCCGTTCCTACCCACTATCTGATCAACCAGACTCGATAATGATCTGACTCGATTTTAACCTGATATGATTTGAACTAAAACACACTTCATATTGGATAATACTGTTTCCAAACAGACCCAATTCAATCCAAATCAATTACGACCATAACCAATGACCCGATTTCACCTGATCTGTTTTGAACCGAAACCCGTTTTCAAACCGACCCAGTTTAGCTCAAACTAATTATGACCTGAACCGATTACAACCCGATCCGATTAGGACCCGAACTATTTTGAACCAAAACTCGCTTTAAACAGGCTAAACTCATTTTCTAACAGACCTAGTTTAACCCAAACTGATTGTGACACGAACCGATTACAACTTGATCATTAGGACCCAACCCGAATAGAAACTGCAATTAAAAAAACCAAAACTGAACTGACCCGATAATTTTCAAAACCAACCCAAACCAACTCGCTAATCATTTCAACCCATTATAAACCAATCTGTTATAACCTGAAACCGATAAACAACCCGAAACTGAACCGTTTACCCGATTTGACACCCCTAAAATTGTCCGATATAAAGTGGTGGCTTGGTGGGTATGGTAACCAAAATAGTTTTATGAAAAAGTAGTGGTTATTAAGGAGCATTGATGGAGGCACTCTTAGTCCATCTTCAATGATATTTTGTACTACCCCCGTTAAATGTTATGTGCAACTTTTGTCAAAAACGGATGATTAAGGTTATGTGCAACTTTCCATTTCCTTTCCTATTTTAATAAACAAAAAAGCTTAAAAAGATTGATATACCCTTACTTAAAAAATCAGGTTTGAATAATTAAGTGGGGTGGTCTCATTTTCTCTCTTTCTTTTTTTAAGTGGGGTGGTCCTATTTTCTCTCTCCCTCCTAATAAAATAAGATTTCCCCACCCTTATTTGAGTAGGGTGGTCCCCATTTTCTCTCTCCCCTTTCTTTAATCTTTGCCCTTCAAATTTTGTCTTGATAACCGCAACCCCCTTCAAAATTGCACATAACATTTAACGAAGGTAGTATTTCAATAGTCAAAGTTGAGTCTCATTATTGGAGATGGTATTATAAGAATTACAACAAATATCCAATATTGCCGCATGTAATGTCATTGCCTAATATTTTAGATTATGAAACCAGTTACTCATTAACCAAACAATCAATTTCAAACTCGAGGAATCTTACATGCTCTTACTTTAGTTTGAGTCTTATAAATGTAAGATAAAATTAAAGTTTATTTATATTTTATTTTTTATTAATTACTAAGAGAAGCTTATTCATTTACTACAAGATAAGTGTACTAAAAGATATGATAATTCGATGATTGATATGGTGGACACAATTCTATAATTGACATTAAACCTAATAATCAGATAGAAATATAGTCACACCAAAATGACCAAGTCAAATAGTCAATAGCAAGTAACAAGTAACAAGTAGCAATCAGTAGCAAGTAGCAAGTAGGCAGAAGAAACTATAGGAAAAAACTAGAGCCGCTAGTAGATTGGACCTAAACGCCTATCAAGAAAAAATCAACCAAAAACCCTAATTAGGAGGGCGCCCCCATTGATCTTCTTGATCAATTTAACATGTAAATCAAAATGGCTCATTTGTAAATAATATGAACAGAAACCGTCCACATATCCACATATCTGATTGATGGCAATTACTCAGCAGCTAAGTAGGAGTGCCCTCGTGTAACGGGAGTGCCCTCATGTAACGACTGTTAGAGTGTTGAGCGTCACCGTCAAGTTTTAATGTCATTGATTTTTCTTATTTATATCCACATATTATGTTCATCTGACCAAGTGAGGTAGCTAGTAGCTGAACACACACACACAAAAACAGAGAGAGAAGTGAGGTTTTTCATTTTCGGATTTTCTAGGGCAGACTTCTGCAATTTGCTCGTTGCCAGAAATTGCACCGTTGGATCATCCTCAAATTTTGACAGCTTGTTCCTGACATCTAGAGCTTCATTTTGGACGGTCGGATTGTCAGTTTGAGCTCTGGTTTGGTCGCAGTCGTCTCTAGACAGTTTTGCTGTTTTGGGTGATTTTTCTCCACTTTGTTTCTTCAATTGTATCATTATTATACAATTGGCTTAAATAAAACATAGCAAAATCAATTATAACTTGTTCATGACTAATAGATAATATATATCAAAATCTGAATTTGAGTTCACAATTTGGGTACTATTAATACATGAATTTTAAAAACAAAATAATTAAATACTTAAAAGGGAAGTAGGTGCATTGATGAGAAGATGCATTGATGAGGTGCATTGATGAGCAGGTTTGATGAGGAAATCACGGCAAAAAAAAAAACGTAACGGCAATTTGTTCAAGCAACACGTAGGCAGTGAGATGTGGCAAACCTGCCTAGTCATCATTAATGGTATTACACAAATGTCCCAGGTTTAATGATGAAAAAGACTATATTGCCCTGTTGATTGACAAAATAAATTGATCAACTTGTATTTTGCGCCCTAATCAGTGACTTTAAGATTCCAATTCTTTTTTTATTTTTTGGTAAAATTGTTCTCATCAACACGAGCCGGCCCCCATTGATCTTCTTGATCAATATAGCAAACAAATCTACATGGCATAAATGTAAATATTGTGAACAGGAAATGTCCACATAGCCACTTACGTGAATGTGGGCAGTTACTCAGCTGCTGACTCATATAACTTCCGTTATCAATGAGGCTTCACCGTCAAGTTGCAATAGTCAATGAGTTGTCTTGTGTTAGAGCCACATATGATGTTCTTCTTTTATGAGTAAATTCAAAAATCCATACTTCTCATCCATGTTTTATGATGTTCATCTTTTATGGGAAGTGAATTCGCAACGACGGATGAGTGATTGATTTTGGTATATGATCAATTGGATTGTTAGGTAAGTCAAATACAAACTATTAAATTCAATATTTTTAGCATCATTGCACTGTGTTTTTTGTTTTTGATCGCATATATGGAGTATAATTTTATTTGTTTATTACGGATTATTGAAATGTATGGATTGTTGAAGTAGATGTTGGTGTGAAGTATTCGAATGAGTATATAATCAAGTGTGACAATACTCGTTCGATTAGCTGGACATTGGTAGCATTTGTTTGTGTTTGTGTATGTGTTAGAATTGTAAATCCTCTAAACTAGCCATGGAGAACTGTAATGATTCGCCCGTAGTTGGTGGGTGCATTGGTAGTGTTTTGCAAGATAAGGGAAGCGGTGTTAGGTGCAGAGAGGAGCCTTGTCTGGAAGATGATGCAAATCGGATTTGTGAAATCGGAGATGAAATTCAAGCCCTCACCATTACTGAATTTTGACCCATATTGCTATATTGGGCTTCACATACTTACAAATTGCAATATTGGGCTCCCCGAATTAAACTACATTCTATACTCAGTTACCCAATATCAAATTATCAATTATTCTAATATAAGATTAATGATAACAACAACCGAATTTTCCGTTTTTTGACGGTCTAATTATTTTTTGTAATGAAACGCAATAACAATGACTAATGCCTAATAGGGTAATTTGGAATTAATTAATTACGTATCATTACAAAGTGGTATTATAAATAGTTGGTATTAAAACATATTATACCGAAGTTAAAACTAATTAGAATAAAGTAAATATTGATACATACTTTTTTTGAACATTCAATACATTAATTGTGAACAATTATAAATATTCAATATTTACAAGGGGTAGTTGGATGACATACATAAATGAAAAAAAAATAAAACAAAAAACATTAAAATGGGTGCATTTATGGCACATGTACAAGCAAGTGAATTAACGGCAAAATTGTGCCGTAACGACCAATTTCACCATCATTCACACGTCAAATGCATAAGTGGCAAAGAGGATGAGTCACACCATGGGATATTACCATATTGTCCCCAGTTTAATGATGGAAAAGTCTATTTTACCCCCTTGATTGACAAACTAAACTGATCATGAAGATCAACATGTATTTTGCGCATCAACAGCCTGAACTATAAATACAAGTGTACTAAACATCCTGAACTTTAATTAGTAATTGGCACACCACGAACTATTGATTGGGGTGCAATAAGTGTCATTAATAATTTTTAATAAAATTTAAGATAAGATTAACTACGTTAATAAATAAATATAAAAAAAAAAAAAAAAGTGAAAATCAACTGAACATGAAACACTCTAAAAGCTCAAGGATTAAAACAAAAGGTCCTATTTTAAAAGTATATGTTTATGTATATGCGTGTAGAACTGTAGATAAGTACTCCTAAAGTCATAATGAACAATTGTTGGCATTTAATTCTAGAAATTAATTAATTAACTAAAACAATAAACTAAAACAATGAATACATTATCATTCTATACATTAAACATTAGATGTTCACACTAGTAGGAAAAATGAAATAGGCACCCCCTTTTAGCACCGGTTCTTTAAAACCGGTGCCAAAAGAAATGGGCGGGAGTGAAAAATTGAGAGTTGGCACCGGTTCGAACTAAAACCGGTGCCAAATCCTGTAATTGGCACCGGTTCAAACCGGTGCCAACTTAAAAAAAAAATAAATAAAAATAAATTAAAAAATGGTATGGAAGAGAGTTGGCACCTGTTCACCTGTTCAAACCGGTGCCATTTATGACAAAAAAAACCGGGTTTCAATTCCTTAATATATAATACTTCTTCGTTTTTCAGTATTTCATTCAAGCAGCTTCTTCGTTTTTCATTCTCTCTACCTCTGAAATAATTGCATGCTCTCCTTCCTAATCTCTCATCTTTCATCTCGATCTCTTCTCTCTCACCTCTATTCTTCTTCTTTAAATTGTCGTTCTTCTCTCATCTCGTTCTGCTTCTTTGACCCCTCTAATCTCTGTTCTTCTTTCTCCAACCAAGCACAACAACCAAGCTGTCGTCGTCAACCACAACAAACATCGCCGCCGCCTTAAATCTGGGTAATTTATGGGTTTTTCGGTTTCTGGGTTCTTGAATCAGGGTAATTTCTGGGTTTTCGGGTTTCTGGGTTCTGGGTTTTTTCACGATTTTGCTCGGTTTTTTCTGTGTTCTTAGGGTTTCTGGGTTTTGTCTTTTTTTTTTTCTAGGTTTCTGGGTTTTGTGGGTTGAATCTTTGTGGGTGTATTTGTGCGAAATCGTTCGTTTTTAATGGGGTTTAATTGATCGATTTGTGTTCGATTTTTTGGGTTTAATTGTTCGATTGGCTTTCGATTTTTTTGGGTTTATTTGTTCTATTTATATTTTGTTTTTTTGGTTGAATTTATCTGGGTTGAATCTTAGTGCCTTGTTCGATTTTTGTTCGATTTTTTGGGGTTATTTGTTCGATTTATTTTCGATTTTTTTGGGGTTTATTTGTTCTATTTATTTTTGGTTTTTTTTGTTGAATTTATCTGGGTTAATCGTTCGTTTTTAAGGGGTTTTTTTGATCGATTTTTGTTCGATTTTTTGGGTTTATTTGTTCTATTGATTTTCGATTTTTTTGGGGTTTATTTGTTCGATTTTGTGGGTTTATTTGTTCGATTTTTGTTGAATTTATCTGATTTTATTGTTTTAATTGATGCAGGTTTGAAGTTTCTGATTTTTTAATTTTCGGTTTGAAGGTCGTGAATTTGCCGAGTATGAAGTTCGAAGTTTCTGGGTTGTAAATTGTAAAATTACAAATTCAGCAATTTCTCTGTTTTTTTTTTAATAAATTGTAAAATAACAATTTATTTGATGAATATAGCCTTGTTCGATTTCTTGTTTTGGATTGTATGCTGAAATTGGATTGATGAATAAATTGTATGCTGAAATAATTTTTTTTTTTTTACTGTTTGAAGGCATAATTGGCACTGGTTAACCGGTGCCAATTGTAGTTAAAATAAAAAAAAAAACAGCGCGGCATTTACATTTGGTACCTAACCGGTGCCAAAGCGTGTAGTTAGCACCGGTTAACCGGTGCCAAAATGCTTTAGTTGGCACCGGTGCCAAATTTTTGGGGATTTGACATCCCTCAAATCCTCAACGGTTCAAAACCGGTGCCTTAGGGGGGTTTTGAACCGGTGCCAAATTACCTTTTTCGTCTAGTGTCACCTCGTAGAGAAAGTCTATTGATATTTAAATTTTATTTTCCGTACTTGTTTTAGGAAAATGATTGCATATATCATTCGGATTAGAAGTTTAATTTTACAGTCAAATCATTAAATTTTTATTTTCCGTTTTTTTTAAGAAAATGATTGCATATATCATTTTGATTAGAAGTAAAAATTACAATCAAATCACAAAACCGGCCACCTAAGAGTGAGGTATAGCTTAAGTGGTTAGAGCTTCCCTCCTGATTCTAGGAGATCTTGGGATCGATTCTCATCACCCACTTTTGTGGCTCTCTAAACACCAAAAAAAAAAAAAAAAAAACAACCAAAATCAGCCACCTCCACCTCGTCCTTGAAACCCTACCCTTCACATACAACTATTTTTTCCAGTGGTGATCATTATATATATATATATATATATATATATATATATATATATATATATATATATATATATATATATTTTAAGCCTAGCAATACATTACAAATTCACGTTTAAATTTGGTACTATTTTATTATTAATACTACTGCGTACCTCTCTTCATCTCATATTTATTGCCTTATTATTATCTTACTTTTTTTAAAACTGTTTTGGATTAAATGAGACAAATTACATCGTAAGGCAAAAAATTGATCAATAACAAAATGATTGCTAAATTAAATAAAATACGATTATACAAGTAATACTGTTTTCGTCTGAAGTTATTCCGTATAATTAGGGGTGTTAATTTAGGTAATATAATAGGGGTGTTCACCGGTCCAAAACCGGACCGGACCTGGACCGGACCTGTTGGGACTGGGACCTGAATTAGGGGATTTTGAGGACCAGAGACCGGACCTGATTCAACAGGTCCGCTTCCGGGTCAGCCCTGAAAAATCAGGTCCGGTCCGGGTTTGGACCTGAATAGACCTGTTTTGTTATTTTATTTTATTTTTTTTAATAAATAACCTGTTGGACCTGCATATGGACCTGTTTTGTGATTTTTAGACCTGTTGCATAATTTAATAATTACATACAATCCCAAATTATCAATCACAATTTTTTTTTGATTTTTAGACCTGTTGCATAGACCTGTATATGGACCTGAATAGACCTGTTTTGATTTTTGATATTTTTTTTTTTAAAAAAAAAAATATATAAATTTACCGGGTTTCAGGTCCGGACCTGAAAACCTCGGTTTTGGACCAGAACCGGAAACCTTGAATTTTAAGAACCGGGACTGGACCTGAATCTACAGGTCCGGATTAGGTCCGGTCCCAACAGGTACGGTTCAAGTCGGTTTTCAGGTCCGATCCTGTTTATGCACACCTCTAAACATAATGGATCGTTGTGGGTTGGCCTACGACAAGTCCGGTCTGTTTGGGTTAAGATTACTCTTTTAACCCACCTCGGTTAGGGTCGGGACAATTTCAGGTCAGGTCAGGTCAATTTTGCTGTCAAGATCTGTCCAATCAGAGTTATGTTTAGGTTGGATCAGCTTCTGTTCAGTTCATATAATAAGGTTTGGTTAAATTCGTAATGAGTTCAAATTAAAATGGGCTTGACTAGGTTAATTTTGGGTTGGATGACTTTGGGTTGAGTTGAGTTCAATTCGGTTTAGTTTGATTAGGATATGGTTGATTCAGTATCGGATAAATTCCAATTCAGATTCTTTTCGACTTTGGTTGAATTGGGTCGGGTTGACCGAATTCAATATTCAAATAAGGTCATTCTTAAACCAGAGTTATTATTGCGTTACAACCTTATTATTGGGTTACTATCCAGTTATTCCTATTTCATATTATTGTCACTAACACTTATTAGTTTTTCTCATTAGATTAGTTCTTGTATCAGTTTTATTTTTAAGCCAAATTAATATTAAATTATTGATGACTTATAAGTGAGACGATAAATAATGAACTAATGATACATTAATAGGTGATAGCCAGTTATGGTCATGTTATGTTTAAGGAAAAAAAAAGAAGTTCTTAATGAATAACGAAGTAAGCAATTACATAAATCGAAGTAATTATGTTTAAGTCAAAAAAAGGAAGGTCATTAATAGTTTGGATTTAAAATTATGTTTGGTTTGAAACATATTGGGTTAAAATCATGTCTGGTTAATATCATTTCGGATCAAAACGGGTCATATTGAATTGGCCATTGGGTATTTGTCGGGTAAATTCTGGATTGGGTTGAGTTCAAGTCGGATTAAATTGGGGTCAATTTGAGTTCAAATCTGGTAAAATCACTGTCGGATTGAGTTTAGGTCTAGTCAAATCGGTGTTGGGTTTGTCAAATTCGGATTTAGGTTGAGTTCAAGTCAGTTACCAAATCGGGTTTGTGTCCTGAATTTTTCGAATTAAATTAGGCCGGTTACAATTTAAAACGGATAGTTTTTTTTTTGGTCGGGTCGCTTTTGACAACCCTACATGTATAATAGATTAATAGACCAACGATGTGGTGTAATCAATTGTATTAAATATCTTCCATGATTATGCCTTAAGTGTTATTCCGTAATATAAGATCTTAACCACGCAGAGCATTAACTTGTCAACATACATACATCATACATGGTCTAGTCCCCCACCTAAAATTTGAAAATAAGATTAGGAATTCAAAGATGGACCTACATGGAAAACAATGTATGTGATCCACCATCTAGCAATTCCTTTTTCTAAGGAAAAAATTTGTCACAAGATTGATTAATTGTTATAATAATCAAACAAACATATTGAATTGAATTGAATAGAATAATACAAGTATATAATAGCAAAACTACTATCATTGCAATTCGAAAATATCTTATGTCCTTTTTTCACATCATAATTCATAATGATTTCAGCATTCCTCGTTTAACGAGGGGTCTATGATAGTATGATCTATTGTAGGCCTTGTAGTTGTAGAAATGATTTTCATTTGTAGTTGATAAATTTACATATTTGTTTATTCCTAATACTAGTAAATCTTCTAACAATTTAATTGGACGAAATTCAAACAACTTAACTAAAACTAATTTAATTCTACCAGAAGGACACTCATTTCACTCAACAAACGATGTAGTTTCAATACCAAAAACATAAAAATTTACGGCATAGGAGGGTCTGAAATATTCAAATTTTCAAACAAATAAAAAAAAATAGTAATTTACATAAATCTTAGAGAGAAATTAAGAAAAGAGGGTAGAGAATGATAGAGTATAAAAACCAATTCTAAGACTACTCTAACCATTGCGTTATTAGCTTATAACTTTAAGTTGAGTTGATCTTTTGGCATAATATTTGAGCAAAAAAATCTCATATGATGGGGCGTGATAAAATATAAAATCATTCAATCATTCATATGATTCTATTAATTAGCTTAATCTTTTAATTGATTTGATCCTTTGGCAGAGATGAGAAGGGTTTTGAATGCACCTCGATGTAACCTGTAAGAAAAGATACTGTAAAATCAGAAAAATAAAGATTGAAATGTGAGCCAAATTTCTTAATGTATGTATAATATTGTGACGTGTTAGGAACACTGTCTTAGAAGCAAAATTCGCCCCGATTATGATGCAATCGGAGATGGCGTTGCCCCCCAAGATTTAACACAACGATCTCTTTTAATGTGCACTCAAAAAGAGAGATTAGGAACTCACAATTGCTCATAACTAATTTAGAGGAAAACTGATTTTCAGAGGAAGAGGAAGAAGAGAAATTTTTCAGTGTGTCAAAAACTGATTGCAAACTCGGTTTTTAAAAGCTTTCAAAACTCGGAACTGCTGGAGAAAAATCGGGAAGTAGTAAAGATAGAGGGCGAAAATCAAGGAAACTTTTGAACGAGTAAAAACGTATGTTGCAAGCTTCGTAACTGAACGGTCTCATAAACCTGGACCGTCAATTATGCCACGGCCTAAAAAGGTAGGTACACCACGAACCAATCGGACGACGGTGGAGCACGAATGCCCCTCTTCTAGCTCACAATAATAAGGAACGCACTTCAAATAACTAACTTAAACCCTCATATAAAAACCAAGTAAAAACTTTCCTCCTCCACCAATGTGGATCTTGTTAGATTTGTCATGTTATATACTTTCAAAATATCAACTTTTCATAATTTTGATTTATCGATAATTAAAGATATTAATGATTGAATAGGTATATTGACAAACGTGACTAAAGAAACGTGTCAACTAAAAAGAAATGGAGGAAGTATAAAACAAGTAAAACCAACCTTATATTATCCCACCAATGTGGGACAAAGAGTTTTCTTCCAAAACAAATAACATGTTTCCTTAGCATTATTTCCAACATAACCAACTAGCTAGGACCAATTAAATATTCTAAAATTTCTTGATATATAAAACTAATGCGATGACCACTAATTCACTACATGCTGTCCTTATAACCACTAAATAACAATTAGATAACGTTGTTATAAATAATTATATCTATTCAAAAATATATATATAAAAAAAATTATATTCTTATAAAGAAGCAAGAACTTAGTAGAATAGTAGCAGTTGCTTTGCAAAACAACCAAAATATATGGAGACCACAATTATAACAGAAGGCAGAGTTAATTATCCACAAGGTTTAAATATAGAAACAAGCTTCATTAAAGATGAACAAGTCTTAAAAGAAGCTCCAATTTCAGCTCATGCTATTGGCAATGGTTAGTTTTACTCACCTTAATTAGTTCTATATTATCAATTTATCATA